ATTAGTTTGTGTTTAATCAGTTAATAATTGTTTTTTAATGTTCTTCTTTCTCCCCAGCCAACTTGACAGGCCATATTGAGAGGGTTGGTATCGAAAACTTCGAGCTACTAAAGGTGCTGGGCACAGGAGGTGAGTAGAACTGCCTCAAAGTCACACAGAAATCAACTCTAAAGCAGCAGACTCTTCTTTTTGATTCACACTAATTAATGAAGGCTCTGTGGAGCTTTTTGAATAATTGATTTTAAAGTTTTCCTTGACACAGAATCAAAGAAACCAAATGATCTGTTTCTATGGCTGCAAGGACAACAATACCAGCACTCCTTGTTTATAAAGATGTTGATTTTGCTCCTTTATTAAGGCGGCAATTCTGTCCTGCCTTTAGCTGAATGTTTAAAAAGGGCGTCTTACTGCAGCACGTAAAGGACAGGCAGTAAATATTTACCTTATAAATCCTGCAAATGATACTTTTCCTAAGAATAGGTGGGTCATAGAAACCATTTCTGCTATGCCTTTGACCTGAACTTTGCCCTATTTTTTTTTATTTCTCCACCAGCATACGGGAAGGTGTTCTTGGTGAGAAAAGTGAGCGGCCACGATGCCGGGAAGCTGTACGCCATGAAGGTTTTAAAGAAAGCCACCATTGTGCAGAAAGCAAAGACGGCTGAACACACACGAACGGAGCGGCAAGTGCTGGAGCACATCCGCCAGTCTCCCTTCCTCGTCACGCTCCACTATGCCTTTCAGACTGACACCAAGCTGCACCTCATTCTTGGTTAGGACACGTGAGGCTGAACTGTCAGTAAAGTCCTGTTTATTTTATGTCTGGTTTCATGTAAATAACATGCGCTTTCTCATATCATAGATTATGTAAACGGGGGGGAACTTTTCACACACTTGGTGCAAAGGGTGCGATTTAAGGAGCAAGAAGTAGCCCTGTACAGCGGGGAAATTGTCCTGGCGCTAGAGCATCTACATAAGGTATCCTCTGGTTTCTAATCTAGAAAGAAATATCCCGCTGCCGTCTGTTTAACCTGTGCTTTTCTGTTGCCTTCTTGCAGCTGGGTATTGTCTATCGGGATCTAAAGCTGGAGAATATTCTACTGGATTCAAATGGTCACATTGTTCTCACAGATTTTGGCCTCAGTAAAGAATTTGATCAGGTATGGTTCATCTTCACAATGTTCACATTTATTATTTGACCAGATGGATGGTTTTTGTTCCTACTACAAATACCTGAAGGACATGATTTCTATGGCAATATAACAAATAATTGCTTTAAAGGAATAGTACACCCAAAACATGATTAGCCTTCATTTTCTACTCACCCCCATGCTGAACAACACTCTGGAGTACTTTTTTGATATCTCAAATGCATCTGGAGATCTGGGAGGCTTCTTGCTGTCTGCTGACATTCAAATAATGGAGGTCTATGGTGCCCGAGACAGAAAGGTCCATAAAAGTCCACAAAAAACGTGTCAATATTCCTCCATACTGCTCGTCCAATGTATTCCAAGTGTCCTGAGTGGACACTTTCATCTGGTTTGGTCTGCCGCGGTTTCCGTAGCGTCATGAACGCGCCGGCGCGCGCTTTCAGGAAATCCTATACACTACTGTTTATGCTCTAAAAACATTCTAAATGACTTCGTTTCGAGTAAATTATGGATGCTACCCACTCAGGACACTTGGAATACATTGGACGAGCAGTATGGAGGAATATTGACACGTTTTTTGTGGACTTTTATGGACCTTTCTGTCTCGGGCACCATAGACCTCCATTATTTGAATGTCAGCAGACAGCAAGAAGCCTCCCAGATCTCCAGATGCATTTGAGATATCAAAAAAGTACTCCAGAGTGTTGTTCAGCATGGGGGTGAGTAGAAAATGAAGGCTAATCATGTTTTGGGTGTACTATTCCTTTAAGTGGAAAGGTTTCAAAGGTTATTAGTTCTCCATCTTTCTATCTTTAGCTATTATATATGTTTTCATTCTTGCTTACTGGGGAAAGTTTCCATCTGAGAGCCAATGTGTCAAATTCTGCTGTACAGGGCAGGGCCTGAAGCACAGATAAGTAGTCAGAGAGTTATTGCTTTGCATTTGGAAAAAAGGCAGACATTTTAGCGTGTTTTGCAGCAAGTAGCAACACCTTTTCTGTTCTCTCTTGTGTCTAATGGTAGGAGTGTGTTCACCCGTGTGTATTCATGTCCGGGTTGAATTCCTCTGTGAGAAATAAAGAGAACACATACACACACGCGGACAAAATTCTTGGTACCTCTAGTTGAATGAAAGGAAAAGCCGCAATGGTCACAGACATAACTCGAATCTGACAAAAGTAATAATAGAAAACAATTCTATGAAAATGAACAAATGAGATTTAGACATTGCTTTTCAACCATGCTTCAACTAAAAGAGATGTTTAAGGAGATTAGAAAGAAAAGTATTAGAGATGCACCGAAATAAAAATTCTTGGCTGAAAATGAAAACAAAAAATGAGGAAATCAAGATCAAAGACCATAAAAACAGATAAATAATTATGTCAAAAAGAACCACAGCATTATTGGCTACGATGTGTACTAAACTCTAACAAAAATCAAGGCATTTCAATAAATCAATTATAAATGTATCAAAATGTTTATATACCACTGCCATTTTTATTCTCGGCAGAGTCACTGGAAAACGTTCTTGCCTTTTCAAACATGTCCTCCACAGACGGAGCGGACACGTTCGCTGTCAGTTTCCCCTTTACCATGTCGCATTCTTCTCATATTCAGAATGGTGATGGGGACGTTTGGATTTCTATGGTATCATTTTTGGGCCACTGATTTGAGCACAGTGAGAATGATGTACAGTGTTTAAAAATTCAGTCCTTTCCTTCACATGCTCAGCAACTTTTCTGCATGCAGGAAAGTTGCTGCTGTTTGGTTGAGATCCTTTTAACCTCTACTGGATGTGCTGGTTGTCACTCATCGCAAGTTTTGGCCGTGTTGTTTCGGCATTAAATGTCTATTAGACAAAAAAAAAAATTTACTTTTCAGACATTTTTAGCTGAAAATGTTCTATGGCTGAATTTTTTCGGCTCATCCCTAACAACTATGTTAAAGACTATAAGATTGTCTTTGAGCAGCTTGATTTTCCCGTGACTACAGCTGCACGTATCATTTAGAAATGTAAGAGCCATGCACTGTAGCCAACCTCCCTGGATGTAGCTGCAGGAGGAAAAACTGAGGATAAATCGGAAACATGATGATATAAATGTTAACAAAAGAGCACCAACAAAAATTGGAAAGAGATTAAAGGTCAACTTCAAGCTCAAGGAACATCAATATCAGATGGCACCATCCATCATTGTTTGAGCCAAAGTGGACTTAAAGGGGAACGCCGTTTTTTTTTTTTCATTTGGCCCTAGAATTTACGTTATTCCATCATATTCTACTCACCTATATGACTTTTGTGTAATTTAGAGCCGTTCTAAGATTTTCCGTTAGGTTATATCCAAGTAACGTCTTCCTATGGGCAACAACTTGAAGGCACAAACTAAACTGTTCATAATTTATTATTTATGGTACGCCAGCATTCAGAACATGTAGGCCAATCACTGTCCCCCAGATATCCGCAGTTATATTTTTCATATTTATATATATTTTTAAACAAAGCGGCGCGCGGATGACGTCATACACGCGCCGCTTTGTTTAAAAACTGGAGTTGTGACAGGCAGCTCGTCCACAGGCGGCTACGTTCTACCCCTTCTATTCATTCTAGCTAATCTGAATCGTTCAATTCCATTTGGAGAGCGAAATCATCTGTGGTAGCAGCACTAGACATCTTCCAGGCATGTGAGTAAAACTAGCAGCAGTTCAGCGGGCAGGATGAATGAACGGTAGCCAGCGCACGCGGATCTTTTTCATAATGTCGTGTGTTAACATACTTCAATTTATATAAAGTTTTCTAAACAAGCCTACAATGGAAGCACAGTAAAACCTGATGCAATACAATAATACAAAATGTGAAATTTATGAAAATATAATGCACAATATATATTGTCTATGTTTTAATACTCTTAAGTGGAGGATAAATGTTATTAACTGTACATTTTTGTGGCAAAATTTGTGACAACAATGTAACGTGAAGTTTTTGTTTATATTTAAGAAAAATACTAATGTACATATAATTTTTGTTGCTAATCTTTGATCTATCGAATAATCTTAAAATCCTTAAAGTCCTATCCCAGTTTATTTTTTTCATCTTTAACAAAAAAAACAATACAAATGTTGCATTACTTATATACATATTTTAAATGATTAAGGATTAATGCTTGATCATTTTGTTATTTTAAACAAAAAAAAGGTAGAAAGGGCATTGTTATGTTGAGGAATTAACAGTATTTTTTTTTAGATGTTTACATTTCAAAACACATTACGGTAGTTAAGAAAAAAAAAACAAAAAACTAAAAAGATTAATTCATATAAACCAAAAACTGTTAAATAGCTAAGAACATTGTCAAAAAAGCCTAAAATTAAAATGTTTAAAAATCATTAGAATTAATAAATTGATTTATTGAACTTAAAAGTTGAATTTCTTTTTGTTTTTCTTTTTTCAGGTTAATATCCTGCTTATTTCACTAAAACTTGTTGCAAGCACCCCTGGGATAGTTTGTCAGTTTAAAAGTTTATCAGGTCTTCAATAAGCAGCAATTATAGCTGTTTTTTTATTTTATGAGCCCGCTTCCTCATTTCAGCTGGACGTGATGTTAAATGAACTGACTGCAGTGCAGAGCCAGAATTTATCAATGTTTTGTGTAACGCATGATGGCACTGATGATAGGGATGTTGCTAGGCACTTGTCATTCAGATCTGTCAGAAAGCCTCCTCTGTTCTAAAAGAAGAACTAAAGACGCCTACAAGGGTGAGGCTCTGCACAGACGCCACATCAAAAATGTCTGAGAAGTTTTCCTTTGAATCTTTTGAATAAGGGGAGCAGAAAAAAGTATTATACTGTCTCTAATTGTTAATGTTTAAAAAATGTTTGAGCAAGACTAAGATAACGATTCTGTGTTGGATTATCTTTTTTTTGTTGTTGTTTTGTCTTTGCAGGTGGAGAGGGCTTTCTCTGTCTGCGGCACTATTGAATACATGGCTCCAGAGATAGTTGAAGGGGGAGATTCTGGACATGACAAGGTAAATTAGAGTTTTAATGTTTAAAAGCCAGATATGCACGGTTTTATTCCATTTAACTGAAGCATTTGGGTTTGGGCTTTCTTCCATCCCAGGCAGTGGACTGGTGGAGCCTCGGTGTATTGATGTACGAGCTTCTGACGGGTGGATCGCCCTTTACTGTTGACGGAGAGGAAAATTCCCACTCGGATATTGCCAAGTATGGATTTATCCTGTGAAGCATCAAATTAATTATCCACACTCGGCGTTGCTAACTGTGGCTGCCTGTAACATTACAGGAGGATTTGCAAAAAGGACCCTCCTTTCCCCAAAGACATGGGACCGCTGGCCAAAGACCTCATTCAGCGACTCCTCGTCAAAGACCCACAGAAGAGATTAGGGTCCGGTCCAAATGGAGCAGACAATGTGAAGAAACATCCGTTTTACCAGGTGGAAATTTCTCCCTGCTTTCAGTAATTATTGAAGTAGCATTCCAGAAGTATTTTTCACATTTTGTCCCATTTCAACCACCAACCTTTGTGTTTTTGTAATTTAATTGGTAGATTAGCAGCTGTGCTAAGTGTTAAAAGGGAAAAAAAGTCACGTGGAAACGTAATTTTTACCTACATTTGTGTTCAGCTTTGTTCTGACAGTCCAAAGACTACAAATAGCTTTAGAAGTCACCTCATTGCAGAGTCTACCTGTGTGAATTTTAATCCCAAAATTAAATGCATCTGAAAACTTTAGAGGTTTGTTATAGATTAATATTGACCAAAGATCAATACCAATCCTAAGAAACACAGCAGATGGACCAGAAAAGTTGTTGTGAATTTTATAGGAGGTTTAGGTTATAAAACAATATCCAAATAGTTAAACATCTTGGTTGTTCCCGACTCACACATCGTATGAAAATGGGAACAGTATGGTTCGACTGCAAGCAATGCTGGCAATTCTGGGGCAGCCGCAGCTCTGGTTAAAAAACCTGGCATTTATTTAGCAGCAGCGAAAAATTAGGTTATTGATAAAAGAATGCCTTAAAGAGTGTCACAAGCCTATAATGAACACAGCAAACATGCGAAGGATGGCATCTTGGTAAAATTGGACTAACATTTTAACCTAAAAACAAAGCAATATGTGTAACACTGCACGTCACTATGAACACACACACTCAGCAATAAAACATGGTGGTAGCAGTATCATGGTGGGCGAACCTAAACATGAAGCCAGAGCTAGCATGGAAAAGTCTAAAAGATATTAGTATTGGCAAAGGGTGTTCAGCTTATTGCCAGGGATCTATGTAATGTATGTGACTGAGGTTGAATAATCTGGTCACTTGTGAAATTACATTTGTTGGCATATTACAAAAAAGTTTTCTTAAATTCAAAATGTATTTGTCTACGTTTGTCTACAAGTTCTTTGATTTTTTTTGGGAACGAGATTCAAACATATTTTAGCTAAAAAATGTAAATGCAGTGCGGTTTGTTCTTGATTCTGAAAACAACTGTTTACAGAACCCGAAGGAGACGCAGCTTCAACAGCAATAGAAAGTAGTTGATTAAGATTTTTTTAATAAAAAACAAATCAAAAACATTTTTTTTTCCTTTCCACTTCTCATTTCTGCGTTTGTTGTTGTGACATGACAAAATGTAAAGAAGTAGAAGGACTGTAAGTACGTTTGCAATGTACTGTATTATGATGAATTTAACTAAAGACTAATTAGGTTTTTTTTTTGTTTTTTTTTTCCCAATCTAATGTAGAAAATAATCTGGGAGGACTTGGCAGCAAAGAAGGTACCCGCGCCGTTTAAGCCAGTGATTCGAGATGAGCTCGATGTCAGTAATTTTGCAGAAGAGTTCACAGAAATGGACCCGACTTACTCCCCTGCAGCTCTGCCTCAGAACTGTGACCGCATTTTCCAGGTGGGTGAACAGTATGGGATGTAAACAACCCCGCTGCGTGTTTAAGGACCCTAGTTTCCTTAAATAGATATTCCTTTGAGTCGTGGCACAGGAGATACCTGCTCTTTTTACGTGCCCCAGTTTGTCTGGGCTGTAACTGCAGGCATTGTAAAATGTTGACACGGAGGAAGAAAGCAGCATTATACCGTACCCACTTTTTGTCTGTGACTATATTTGAAATACTTCACAGCGATTGAAATAATCAATTCCAGTTTCGAATGTCCTCAAAGGTTGCTGTAAGTCAACATGAGTCTGTCTGTGTGCGTTGGTATTCAAATTGGCTAAGGAGTCTTTTATTGAAGTAATTGCTGCCATATGCAGCTCTCATTGAAGTAACAGATGTGAATGACTATTTTTGATGTAGCTTTGAACCATAATATGGCCCACAACTCCATGCCAGCTGATAGCTGTCTGATGTATTGCATGAAATTTCAACTCTGATTGCCTTCTGGATCCTTGAGCTCGGTAGATCAATAGATCCATTAACGGGCTTCTCTCATGAAATAAAAGGTTACACTTTGAGAGCATCACCACGTCTATCTCAGTTACGCCTTCAGTCTTTGATTGCCAACTTCATCTTGGCTTTTTCCCCCTCTCAGCTGCCGTTCACACACTCCGAAATTTTGCGGTCTTTATAATTTGCAAGCCTAGCAATCTCTGAGATAACGACAGCAATCCCAGTTTAAGCTGTGCACTTGCTCCCCCGTGGTGCCTCACAAAACAAAATTAAAATTGCATTAAGAGCGCCAAGATGTAATTTCACGGCAGAGCAATCAAATATTCAAGCCCGGCAATTTAGGGCATCTCATTCATTCAGCATCCATCCTTCCGTCCATCCATTGCTGTCATTGCATACCACACAGCTGTGTGTGTGTGTCGGTGGGGAAAAAAAAAAAAGAAGGAAGATTAATGCCAGCTCCAAGCTCTGGGCTTCCCACAGCTGGAATTAAGCAACACAATGACAAGTTTAACAATAGAAACAGCTGGACAGCGGCTGTCACTCAGAAAGAATCGCCTCATTGTG